GATTTGTCATACATGGCTTTTATCAGATTGCGGTAAAGACCCTCTATTGGGATAAGTGTTGGAATTTGTCAAAAGCATTTTCTGCATCTGTTGAGATGATCAAGTGATTTTTGTCTTTGGCTCTATTGATATGGCATATTTATTGATCTGCATATGTTGGATGAATCCTGCTTGGTCGTGGTGTATAATCTTCTTGATGATTTGCTGCATTCTGTTTGCTAGTATCTTATTGAGGATTTTTGCATCTATGCTCATTAGGTAAATTTGCATGTAGTTTTCTTTTGGTTTTGGTATCAGGGCAATACCTGTCCCCAGGAATGAGTTTGAGAGTACTGCTTCCCTTTCAATTTCATTAAAGAATTTAAGCAGTATTGACATTAAATCTTCTCTAAATTTCTTGTAGAATTCAGCAGTGAATCCATTAGGACCTGGGCTTTTCTTTGTTGATAAGTTTTTAATTACATTTTTAATTTCACTAATACTGGGTTATGGAGAATTATTATAGCTTCTTAATTCAGCTTTGGTAATTCATATGTATGTAGGAATCTGTCCATTTCTTCTGTGTTTTCCATACTATGAGAGTAGAGATTTTCAAAGTAGGGATTGATGATGTTCTGAATTTCCACAGGATCTGTAGTGATTTCACCCTTTTTATTCCCTATTACATGAATTTGAATCTTCCCTCTTTTTTTGATAAGGTTGGCTAAGGGCTCATCACTTTTATTTATTCTTTCAAAGAACCAGCTCTTTGTTTCATTAATTCTGTGTATTGTTTTCTCAGTCTCAATTGTGTTAATTTCTGCTCTGATCTTTATAATTTCTTCCCTTGTATGAGGTTTGGGCTTTACATTCTGTTCTTTTTCCAAAAGCTTGAGGTACAACATTAGGTTGTTTATTATTTGTTCATTCTGTTTTCCTGATGTGAGAATTCACCACTGTAAATTTCCCTCTTAGGACTACTTTCATTGCATCCCTTAGGATCCAGTATGTTACATCTGCATTTTCATTTAATTGTAGATATTGTTTAATTTCTTCTTTAATTTCTTCTAAAATCCTTTGGTTATTCAGGAGAGTGTTACTTAATTTCCTTGTTTTTATGGAGTTTTTGCATTTTCATTTGCCATTAATTTCCAGTTTCACTACTGTACTGTGGTCAGGTAAGATGCATGGGATAATTTCATTCCTTTGCTTTACTGAAGCATGTTCTATGGTCTAGTGTAAGGTCTATTTTAGAGAACATCTCATGTGCAGCTGAGAAGGATGTATTTTGATGTAGTTGGGTGAAACCTTCTGTAAGGATCTACTAATTCCATTTGTCGGAGGTTTGCTTCAGTTCTGATATATCTTTGCTGATTTTTTTGTCTAGTTGATCTTTCTGTTTGTGACAAATGGGTATTAAGGTCCCCTGTTGCAGTTGTGTTACTGCTTATTTGATTTTTCATGTCTATTAATATTTGTCTTATATGGTTGGGTGCTCCCATTTTTAGTGCATATATATTTATGATTATTATCTCTTCACCTTCAATTTTTCCCCTAACAAATATGTAATGACCTTCATTATCTCTGTTGATCATTCTAGGTTTGAAGTTCACATTGTCTGCAAACCGAATAGCTACCCCTGCTTTTTTCTGGGTTCCTGTTGCATGGAGTATTGTTTACCATCCTTTTACTTTTAGTCTATAAATTTCTTTTTGAGTTAAATGTGTTTCTTGTATACAACATGTTGTTGGATTTTGTTTCTTGATCCATTCTGCCAGTCTGTTTCTTTTGATTGGTGAATTGAGACCATTTATATTGATGGTTACAACTGATATGTATTGGCTTATCTTTGTCTTGTTATTTTCCTGCTGTTCCCTGCTTTTTCCTCTGTTTAATTGCTTGCTCTGCCTGGTAGTTTCCTTTTGTTGTTCTTGGAATTGTGATCATTTTTATCTCTGTCTAGAATATCTTTTAGTATTTTTTGTGGGGTTGGTTTGGTGGTCATGAATTTCTTCATTTCTCTGTCCTGGAAGTATCTTATTTCTCCATTAATTTTGAAAAATAGTTCTGCAGGGTACATCAATCTGGATTGGAGGTTATTTTCTTTCAGGACTTGAAATATTTCTTTCCAGCCTCTTCTTGATTTGAGGGTTTATGTTAAAAATGTGTCATGATTTTGATGGACTTTCCTTTATAACTGATGTGTTTATTTTCTCTAACAGGTTTTAATATTCTGTTCTTGTGCTGAATTTTTGGCCTCTTCATTATTATATGTTGGTGTAGATTTATTTTGGTTGTGGTTAATTGGAGTTCTATATGTCTCACTTATCTGTATGTCAGATTCTGTTCCCATGTTTGGAAATTTTCTGCTATTGCTTCTGCAAATAGTCTTTATGTCATTTTGTTGACACGTTTTTCATTAACATCTATCAGCCTTATATTGTTTTTCTTTGCATCGTCTTGCAGCTGTTGGATTGTTATAGCTTTAGCCCTTGTTATTTTTAAAAGATCTTTCCTTTCATGATTGCTAGCCACAATCCTGTCTTGAAGGCCTGAAAGTTTATCTTCAGTTTCATTCAAGCAGTTTTGCCAGCTGTCAATGGAATTTTTAATTTCCTGGATGTCTATTTAAATCTGTTTCATGCATTGTTTCTTTCCTATATTAATCTTTCATGGTTTCCTTCATTTTCCTGTCATCTTCCATTTTTTTAATCTATCTCTACTCTAGATTTACTGAGCATTTCCTTTATTATTGTTGTCATTTCTTTTTTTACTTGAGAGATTATTTCTGATCTGACTTCCTGTATTTCTTCATGGATTTGTTTCTTTACTTTGGTTAGTATCATTTCAAAAATTTCAGATATATGTCTTCCATTTTCCTCTATCTTGTTGTCTCCTGGACTTGTTCTGGGTGGGCTGGAGATCTGAGATTGCATTTTGCTTCTGCATCTTATCATTTTCTATTTGAAAAATTTTTATTTTGTTTTCTATGTTGATCCTTGTAAGTTTTTGTAATAGGTAGCAATATTACTAGTATCAGGTCCTCTGTAGGAAAAGTCTGTTCTTCAGGGATGTCTTCTTTGTATAGGTGGTTCTTGGTTTGTGTCTTTCCCAAGATCCTACCTTCCCAGTTAATTAAGTGTGAGATGTTAGTATCTGTTTGGGTCAGTCCCCAGTTCTTTAGTGGTGGGCTGCAGTGAGGTTATTACCACACAACTTCCCACCATTGTTACAGAAGGGAGAACAACTAGTTACAACAAATATGATGTCCTAGCTAAAGTGGTATAATTAGCAATAACAGTAGCATCAAGCACAGTTTAGAAACTGACAAACTGGCAACTATTAATTTTGTACTTTAAACCATAGCAGCAAAATGTACAATTATGTAACAGAACTGATCATAAATTGGGAGTCCTGTATGCGAAGTGTTTCCCCTTGGTAGAGTGGTTTTAGCCGGTGGTGGGGAAATTTAAGGATAGTAGATAAAATAAAGATTACTGAAAAGAAAGTAGAAGCAAGGCTGGAGGATAGAGGATGATCATGCAAGTTTTGGGAAACTAGAGGAGTGGGCAGACGAGAAAGAATGAAGGAGTAAGCAACGGAATTGTCTGAACTTGATCTCTGGGTTTAGGGTATGGGATTAGTTTTCTGTGGCTGGAGTTTCTTCTTAGCCAGTTAGAAAAGAGAAAAGAAAAAGAAAGAAAAAAGTAAAAGAAAAAAAAGAGAGAGGGGCAGCCCCACCTGCCTGCTTCTGTTCCATGTGCCTTTGTTCCCAAGCACAATGCTGGTTCACCTAACTTACCACCTGTCAGCTCATATTGTTACTGTTGCTTTGTACTTTTTCACACCGCTAGTCCCACCTGTCTACCTTGTGCAACCTAGTCAGGATGCTGCTGTGTTGCGGGCGTTTCTTCTGGTCTCTGGGCCTTTCTGTGCCATTCAGCACAGTCATGGCAGCAGCGAGGGGAGGCACTGTTCTCTGGGCCTTCCCATGCAGCCCACCTGGATTACTCCATCTACTTCTTTAAGATTTCTCTGGCCATTCTATACTTTCTCTTTTCTTACAGATTTTAGAATCAGTTTGTCAAAGACTGCAGGGACTTTTATTGGGATTATAGTTAACTTTGTATGTAGATCCATTTGGAGACAATGACTTTTTTACATTATAGTCTTCAACTTCCAAGTCCCAGTCCCAGTCTCTTCCTACTCACAAGTTGCAGTCCTCTTGGGGAGGGTTGCCCATATCTCTCCTCTTTTGGCATGCCCTGAACTCTCAGTTTTATTAGAAAAACTTTACCAAGGTTCTGAGTACCCAAATTGCCTCTCTTGGAATTAGTGCCTTCTCTTGAAGTACCTTCTCCAGGATCTCAGACCATTATACTTTACTGTTGTCTTAGCTCTCTGATGCTTTCAAATAAATGTGGGATTTTTTGTTCCCCAACCTTTTCAGTTCTCAGAGAAAGAGTTGATTTGAATTATCTTATCTGTTACTTGTGGAAGCAGAGCTTCTCATAATACATTTACTTTTTACTTTTTTTTGGTTCTTTAAAAAAAATTTTAATAAGGCACAAGGAAGAGTGGAGGAAAGGGCACAGACACTAGAGAGACAGTGACAGGAGGAAATTCTGAGATCTTTGGATAAGGGAAAATGGGCAATCAGATAGTGGATGGTATGGAGAAAACTCAGGGACAGTAGAAGAAACAAGTGATTTGAGAGCTGGACAAAAGGATTCATGGCTATTCCACCAAGCTCATTTTAATATTTAACTTTCCTACATTTGCTCATTTTATAAAGGAGATATTAATGTCCCTGTTGCACAGATGAGAAAACTAACTTTCAAGAGGTCAGATGGCGCAAGCAAGTTCACATCAGCCTAATGGTTTAGCTACTCAAATCAAGTCTAATTTTTTTCCTACTGTACCAGAGATATAAACCTTAGTGTTTAATATTTGGTCTGCTTATAAGAGGAAGAATGTCATCTTAATTATTCTATTTTGTTTTGTTGAAAACTTTGATTCAGCATGACCCCACCTTTCCACTGATAGATTCAAGTTCCCAGAATCAGATTAGAAAACGCATCGTACTTGAAAAATTGAGTAAAGTGTAAGTATATGATTACTATCCCAGTTTCATAATATTTTAAGATTAACTTGATATTTATGAGCTCATAATTAATAAATGTTATCCTTAAATTTTGAACATTTTGAAAAATATGAAAAGTTTACATGGATTTCTTCATCTGTAAAATGTAGATTTTTACCATATTGTGTCCAAAAAATAAAAGATTTTGTCTAGAAGACACAAAGGAACATTGTAAAGAGGAAGGTTGAGATTATAGGAGTAGAAAATCAAACTACTGTACCTCACTTGTACTGGTAATCCAGTAAGTCAGGGAAAAAAATACAAAGCCAGACCATTTAAATACTGATTTGTGGTAAATGTGTCACATCAGTTTCATGAGTGAATAAGAAGTTGTTAACAAATTTTAAAGGTCTGTTACCTCACTCTGCCAACGTATTTATAGAACCATTTCACACTCAAGTTGAGTTTTTGTTCAACTCAGCTTTGCACTTTAGCTTTGGCTTCCTGTGGTAGAAGTGATTGTTCTTGTAAATAGCCCACTCATAAATGACACTTACAAATTACTATGTTGATTTTTCTGTCAAAAGAAACTTGAAAATCTTTTCTTCAGAAGTATGAGGGCTATTTTTTTTTATAATCTTTTTGTCTTTTAGAGATAGGGTTTTACTATGCAGTTTCAGGCTGGCTTTGAACTCACTTTGGAGCCCATGGTGGCCTCAAACTTGTAGTGATTCTCCTGCCTCAGCCTCAGGCTACCAAGTGCTAGGATTACAGGTATGCACCACCACACCCTGCTATCTTAAATTTTCCAATCTGCATTTTTTGTCTTTAGCTTCTTGAAAACATGGGAAAAGTATATCATTGTTTAAGGAGTTGTAAATATGCAAAAGTCTTAATTTTGTAGCAGTTCAAAAATAAAAGCATTTTCTCAAGCCATAATATAATAATTTGATCAAAGTGTAATGATAGGGGCTGGGGATTTAGCTCAGTGGCACAGCGCCTGCCTGGCAAGCACAAGGTTGTGAGTTTGATTCCCAGTACTGGGAAAAAAAAAAAAAGACCAAGTGTAATGACGTAATGGGAGGGATGAACTTTTTTGATTGGCTTTGTGACTTGATTTGGTCTTATAATAAAAACTGAAGAACTACTATAATTTTTACATTTTGAGTAAATGTTTAAATTAATATTTACTGATTGCCTGCTGTAAGTTATACTCTTCATATAAAATCTGTCACAAGTTTTGGCTTTTATCTGATCTTTATACTTGTACTTTGTTATACTTATACTTTGTTATACTTATACTGTTATACTTTGTTTCTGTGAAATACTCATTTAGAAAGCAGTATTAAGTCACCACCTGTCTGATCTATAATACAAGAAGATACCAGACTTGACTAGCTTTGAAAGCTGGGATGGGTCACCCATACCAGTATGAATTTAGTGTAGATATGAGTTTATGTGGAGATAGTTTTCCAGACTTTTTAGCTAATAAAAGTATCCAGTTTTAAATTTGAGACCATGTAGGCATGTCACTGACACAACCTGCCCCCTCTGGGTTTTGGCTGAAACAAGACTATACCAAAAGGGTTCCTGTGAGAAGACCATATTATTGATAATGGCACAAAAACAGAATTTGAGAGGGGATGGAATAGCCTAAGGAGAAGAAAGAACAAAAAGCAGTGAAAATTAATTATGGTAACATGGGGGGGTTTGTGGTTCTTTATAAAAACATTTGGAGCCAGGTATGGTGGTGAGTGCCTATAATCCCAGCACTTGGGAACCTGAGGCAGGAGGATCGCTGTGAGCTCCACCAGGCCAGCCTAGGCTGCTACATAGTGAGTTCAAAGCCAGCTTGGAAAACAGAGTAAAACCCTGTGCCAAAAACAGGCGGGGCGTGGTGGCACACGCCTGTAACCCCAGCTCTTGGGAGGCTGAGGCAGGTGAGTTTGAGGCCAGCCTGGGCTACGTAGTGAGTTCAAAGCCAGTCTGAACTATTAGTGAGACTTTGTCTCAAAAAAAAAAAAAAATTTTTTTGAAAAAACAAAAACAATAAATGAAAGCAGTTGGGCTCTTCTTAAGTAAGACTTTTTGGTCTCTGATTTGAACAAACCAATTGTAAAAAGACGTTAATAGAGGAAATTAAATATGCACTGGATACTACATTACCTTAAGGAATTGTTTGGTTAGGTATCATGTTTTTGTGGTTTTATAAGAAATTGCATTTGTATTTAGAAATACAAATTAAAATAGGCATTGGGGATTTAATTTACTTTAAAATATTACTCCAAGTAAAAAGAAAGAAAAACGGGGCAGGGTGTGGTGGCACACACCTGTAATGCCAGCACTCGGGAGGCTGAGGCAGGAGAATTGTTGTGAGTTCGAGACCAGCTTAGGCTACACAGCCTAGGCTATACAGCCTGAACTATATAGCGACATCCTGTCTCAAAAAAGGCAGAAGAAAAGAAAGAAAGAATGAATGAAGAACTGAAATAAATATAGCAAAATACTGAAATGTTAAATCTAGAAATATATATTACTTTTGGAACATACCTAAAACTTCCATAATGTTTTTGAAATATTTTTTAAAAGATAATACATGGTTGTTCAAAAAGATTTAGCAATTAAAAAAAAATGATAAGTGAAGTGAAAATCACCTGTTACCCCATCACTCAGTGATAATCACAATATTTTGATGTTTATCCCTGACATATATGTGATGTATGTATATTCATTGCCTTTGGTTCTCTCTGATAAAGTAACGAATCTAGAAGGAATGAAATATATTTGATATGTAGTATATACCAAAGCAGTATATATTTTTATAAAAATGAGGTAATACTATGTATGCATTTTCCACTTGGTATTTATTGTATCTTTTCACATAAAAGACATAGATTCACATTATTTTAAAGGTTTTTATTTTATTAAATGTCTGTATTTATTTAACCAACCACCTATTGATATGTGTTTGTTTCCCATTTTTCACTAAAAAGATTTACACAACAAGCATTCATGTTCTCAAACATCGCTAGGGCTTTTTTAAATTTAATTTTGAGATAGGGTTTTCCTAAATTGTCCAGGCTGAATTGAAACTTAAAATTCTCCTGCTTCAGCCATCCAAGTAGGTAGGATTACAGGTGTGTCTCACCTTGCCCAACAGCAAGCATCTTTCTTCAGGAATATTTATCTGATTATTTCCTTAGGATAACTTGTTTATAGTAAAACTGTTGGATAAAAAGTATCCACAGTTTAATAAATGTTTATTGTCAAATTGCTCTTTAGGCAAAAAAAAGAGAAAAAAAACTAAGGATAAAAATACAGAGGCCAGCCAAAATTATTTTGCATTTTGCTGCTTTATACTATAACAGATTACAAAGTATAGTATAGATTTACTATGAAATATTTCTTTAAGACTTCTCACTAGTCATAATGTAGCTTTACTGTTTATTTAAAATCATGCTACTTCCATCTAAGTATCATTACTGCCTATGGAAAGTTCAGAGACAAGCTTACCACCCCCAAATGTTTCTGTATAATTAAATCATATTTTAAAAGAAATGTAATTTCTTAAAATTTTCAGATTGCCTGGACTTTTGGGTCCTCTTCAGATTACCTTAGGAGATATTTACACTCAACTTAAAAATCTCGTCCGAACTTTCAGGTTAGTGTTACCATTATGATTTTTCCTTCTTTGTTACAGTATTTTGATTTTAGCAGTAGCCTTGAAGAATCCACGGGCAGACTAAAGCATGCAGAAAGTAAGTGATTTATCTTTAAGGCCATACATCTAAATACGATGCTCTTGTTTTCTCTTGCCCTAAACATTGCTTCGTGTGTTCTATTAAATACAACTTCTTATTTGCTCAAACTTTGGTATATTTTATTTTGGATCATTTATTTATAGAATGGCCTAAAATTAAGGAAAACTATATGACACAAAAGCAAGTAACATTGTGGATTTTAGCAAAATAATAAATATATAGGGGTGCTCCAGTTCACAAACTTTACTCTTTCCATTTTTCTAGTTGCACAATTCATTCTATGATTCTGGTTGCAACTGAATTACAAGCATATATTAGAATTAAGTTACTGAACCAAGGTACCACTGTATATCAGATGACCACCACTGTTCTAGGCAGTATGGTAATAGAAAGGAAGCATAATGCCAACTCAAGGAAGAACTCTCCTGTGAGAGGGTGAGTACAGTGAACAGTAAGGTCCAGTGTTTTCCCTCCACGCCACACCACATTACCTCTCTTCTATATTATTCTTTTCTTTTACAACTTTTTCATGAAGGGAATAAGTTTATTCCTTTACTCAACAAACACTTATCCATTTCCTGCTATGTGGCAGGCACTGCACAGACACTTGGATATAATTCCTGCTTTGAGCAATTTACTGTTTACTAATTTAATACTGAATTGTATAGTAGAGCTTTGAAGTGCTAAGCACTACAAAGGAAGAATAGAGAATTAATATCAATTGTGGAGTGGAACAAGTGAGATTTTTCTAACTGATCAAACTAGCACATAAGGACATTGCACTTTATTTTATCTGGGATATTTACGTATATATGTATATTTGTTTTTCATTTTCATTTTTTGAGACAGGGTCTTGCTTTGTAGACCAGACTAGCCTCAAACTCATGGCGATCCTCCCTGCTCGACCTCCCAAGTGCTGGGATTACAGGCATGTACAACCATGCCTGGCTGTAGGATGTTTATATTTAAAAGTGAAGGGGGTTTGGAGGTGTGGCTCAGTGGTAGAGTTCTTGCCTTTCATGCACAAGGCACTGGGTTCAATCCCTGGCACCATCAAAAAAAAAAATGTGCATATTTAGGTAATAAATCTGAATGACATGATATAAGTACTAAGATTGTTATACTCCTTAGTTGTCATGGAGACAGTACAATTTCAATATCATTGATTACACAGAAATTGAAGGATGCCAGAAATGATCCTCAGATTGGCCTAGTCTTGGATGATTTGACACAATGCTTTGCCACTGTCTTAGTTACTTTTCTTGTTGCTGAAACAAAATACCCAATGCCCAAGGTTAAAAGAGGCAAGGGTTTTTTTAGCTCACAGTTTGTAGAGGTTTCGGTGTATAGTTGGCTTTTTCCAAGGCAGAGTGGCATGACATCACAGAGGAGAAATGGTCCATGGCAAAAGAAGGGCAGACAGAGGCAGGAAGCAGCAAGCAAACTACATGCAACTTGAGCAGCTTCTTTCTGCCCCTTTTTGTGTAGGCTACCCAGCTTAGGTTGGGTGCCAGACTAATCATTGAACTAATTTAGTAATCACACACCCTTGATCTCAGCATCACACATTCTAGATCCAGCCACCTCTGAAAAAGCCTTACCTGTGACTACATGAGATTTTCGGGGGGACACAAGCTGTAACAAAGAGTGGGAGGGAGGGGGAGAGAGATAGACCGATTTACAAAGCAGACAGAAAGAGAAGACATTTTGGGGGGACATTTAGGCACAAGCCATAACATCCATAAGGAGGATTTGAGCCAAATAACAAGGCCAAAGATGAATTTCTCTACATACTTGTTAGTGATGAAACACTAGTTTTTAGATGCTCTTACAGCTACTGCAGGACCATATATCTAAAAGGGAAAGAAATACTTAACAGTTGTCTGCACTGATGGACTGATGGTACAGTTTAAAAAAATAAACACAATGTTTAAATGGTAAAGTTTAGGATTTGTTCAGAATTTATCAGAAAGTTAGTATCATACTAAGACAAAATTTAGACAAGCAAAGATGAAAATCACGTGCTCCTCTGCATTTCATTGACTGTTTTAAGGACTTACCATTTAGCTTCTTGCAGACAAGCTTATCTAATCACTCTTTTCTGAGCAAATTGGTGAAGCAAACTGGAGACACATCAGAAGTAAGAATAAATCCATCTGTCTTGAACTACACATTTTTACCCTGCCTTTTAGAATAAATAATAGTTTACTTTGATTGTATTTTCTAGAGTGATTTTTTTTTCTTATATCTAATTGGATATTTATCTTCTTAAGAAACTATTCTGATATTATCAGAACTTAGTGGAAACCCATAGAAAAAAAATAAGTATCAGAGACATTTCTAATCAGTGAGGTTTGGTCAGATTCGGAAGCTGATTGTAATCACTTTGGGAACCTTAAAAAATTGTCATCTGAGTCTTACTCTTCTGTCTTTAACCCAAGGAATCTGATTTCATTGGTCTGGCATACTGCCTTCAAAGGGCCCAGCTTTTCAGTACTAGGCAAGAGATTTTTTTGGAATCATGCAAAAAAGGGGATTAGTAGCTACCTTCATTCTCTTGTTCTTCTCATTCTGCAGCTAGTCAATAATTTTAGAATTTTCACCAAATGGAAATGATAATAGTAATTGAAATTCTATTGTAGCAATTCTTCTCACTTGTTTTGCTTTGTTTTTTTATTTCTAAGGATCTCTTTGTTTTTCTACCATGGACCACAAATTATCTTTTTTTTCTTTTTAATTACATATATTTAATAAAACATACATTTAACTGCAGATTTCACACAGCATTTTGATAGCTTTTATCATAGCAAGTTTTTTTAATTTTTAAGTTTTTGTTGGTACATTTGCAGTACACAGTGATTACATTCATCATGAAGAACTAGATGTACAGAAGACATCTTAATTCTTTTTACCTCCCCTTTCCCTCATCAAGTTATTAAACCTAGTATTACCTTATTATAGGTAAGTTTTCTTTTTGTTTTAGGGTAACTTATGTCGTATGAATTATACTTTTCAAAACAACTGCAGGATTACTTTATTATTACTTGCATATGTCCTGGAAATTCAGATGTTTCATGTTTCTTCTGGTCTTTTGAACCAGCCCTGGTAATAATGTTTGATTAGGGTCAGTACATGTAGTTCTCATTGGGTACCAAGCTTTACTTGGTACTTTACATGTTAATTTTTTTAAATGATATCATTCTACAGATGACAGATGAGAGATTCAGTAACTTCTCTCAAATCACACAGCTAGTAGTTAAGTTTTGACCCAAGTCTGCCTACGGAGTCTGCTTTACCATATCATGTTTCTTCTTTTGTTCACAGAAGACAATGTAGAATTTAAGTTTTTTACAGTAATGTCAGTTTTTCAGAGAAAGTTTCTTGCAGTCCTTCTGCCTCAGCCTCTTGAGTGCTAGGATTTCAAGCATGCACCACCACACCTGGCTGGGGAAATTCAAATGTCCTTTTCCTCTAATATTTATAAACTATTTTATCATCTTCTAAAGTAATTGTTATTAAGTAACTGTTAAATCTCTTCCAGTTACCTTCTGCATTATTTACAATAAATTAAAACAAAGACTAGATGAAGTGATAAAAGTTGTTTCACAATTTTCCAGATAGGATGGTATTGAATAAGAAGTTATTATACCAATAGCCACTGGATCACGGTCAAAGTTATGATGAGTACATAGGAATTTATTTCATATCCTCACTACTTTTAATGGAGAAATTTAATAGACAGATTGGAGAAACTAAGCCAGAAAACTATGCATTGTTCTGATAAAGGATATTATAAAATTCTGTTCCCCAAACAATTTAATGTTACTTAAGTTATTTTTGAAAACCTTTACTCTCTGTTACTGTAGGTCAAAGTCTATAACTACCATAAAAGTTACTTAGACTAGCTTTGCTGACTTTCAGAAAAGTGTTGAGTACAGAATGATCACAAGTAAGATAACTAATTTAGAACCTTCAGATTCTGACAGGATAGGACTACTTATAACTACGGTTTCCAAGTGAAACCTCAAAAAATGCCATATTCATGACAGTGACTAACGCTGAGAAATCTTTTCAGTCAGTGGGACAGTAAGGAAAAGCTGACATAAATAACTATCCTTCCATTTGAAATGGTAATCAATAATAGAACTTGTAGAACAGTGATTCTCGTGCCACTTGTATGTCAGAATTACCTGGGGAGATTTACAACTACAGAGACTTGGCTGTACCCCTGGAGACTGAGATTCATTTTATTAGAGTTGAACTCAGACATTAGTATTTCTTAAAAGCCCCCTACGTGATTCTAATGTGCATAAAGAATTGAAAGCCTATTTTAGGACCTAAACATAAAGCAGCTTTTTCAGCTCTTTTGAAAAATCTTTCCCTAGTGCATAAAGCTGTTCTTTCCACTGAATTGCCTCATTGTCCGTTATCTGGATTGTTAACGTTGATTTACCTGTCATAGTATAGAACAAGTTTCATCACAAGCTGGTAGTAATTCATAGTCTTCAAAACTGAGTCAAGGTCTGGGGATGTGGCTCAGTGGTAGAGCTCTTGCCTTGTATGTATAAGGCCATGGGTTCACTCCCTAGAACCACAAAATTGCATCAAGATATTTTTTTCTAAATCAGAGTTGAATTAAAATTATATTTTGAGTGGGGCATAGTGGTATACACCTGTAATCCCAGCACTTGGAAGGCTGAGGCAAGAGGTTCACTGGGAGTTCAAGGCCAGACTGTGCTACCTAGTGAGTTCAAGGCCAGCCTGAACTACACAGCAAGACCTTGTCTCAAAAAAAATTATATTTTGACACAAAAACCCTCTTTAAATTTCATCCATGATGAAGTAAGGTATTGTATTTTTCTAAATTTAAGCCAGGCATGGTGGTGCATGCCTGTAATCCCAGCACTCAGGAGGCTGAGGCAGGAGGATCATTGCGAGTTCCAGACCAGCCTGGGCTACAAAGTGAGCCCAAGGCCACTCTGAACTGCATGGTGAGACCCTGTCTCAAAAAGACAAAAGATAAAATAAAATAATAATTTTATATGAGCTTTAAATTACTATATTTTGAAGATGTGCTTTTTGAATGTTTTCTAACATATATTATTATTTTTATTTTTGAATTATCAAACATAGGTTATTTGGGCTAACCAAAAGGAAAAATATGAAAAAATTTTGCTGTTCTTTTTTTCTTTTTCTTTTTTGGCAGGGGGTTTGGTGTTTTGAGACAGAGTCTCACTCTTGTAATTCAGGCTGGCCTTGGACTCACTTTGTAACCTAGGCTGGTCTCAAATTTGAGGCAGTCCTCAGCTTTCTGAGTGCTGGGATTACAGGTGTGTGCTGCCATGCCTGGCTTTCGAAAAGGAAATTCTGTTTAACTGTTTTTGTCGTTTTGGGATAACTTGGAACTCTTTCTTACATGCTAGATTCTGCTTTAATTGCTGCAGAGAACAAAACAGAAGAGTTTCTTCTGTCTTGACAAGGGGTATCTTTTACTGGAGGGGGGTATCTTTTTTAAATGTAACATACATCATATTATTCTCTGGTGATACACCCTTTTCCAGTTCATTCTACTTTTCTTCCTAGAAATAGGGAATAGTACTGAGAAGGGAGAAAGTTGTAATTTTAAAGAAACTGCTTAGGTTGGATGTGGTGGCGTACTCCTATAATCCCAGCATTCAGGAGGCTAAAGCAGGAGGATTGCCAGGAGTTTGAGGCCAGCTTGGGTTACACAGTTGAAGGCCAGCCTGAACTACATAGCAATACATTATCTTAAGAAAAAAAAAAAAAAGAGAAAAAGAGTGCTTAGGGAAGACCTCGTTGAGAAAGAGCCATTTATGTAAAGATCTAATAAGAAGTAATGGAGGAAGCTGTTCCTATCTCTGAAAATATGTCAGAGGAACCAGCAGGTGCAAAAGTCTGGAAAGAGGATTGGGCCTTGGCTGGTCGGAGAATATTTAAGATGCTAATAAGCTTGGAGAAATGGGCAGTGGCAAGAGTGGAAAAAGAAACGGTAAGAGAAGTATGTGACAGGGGTCTATAGGTCATATGTAGCCATTGCAGTTCCTTTACTCTGAGAAAGATTAAAAGCAGTTAGTGGGTTCTGAACAAAAGAATGTCATATAATACAGCTTTCTTTAACAGTATCACTCTGGCTGCTGAGCTAAGAATTACAACAGGTAGGCAGAGGCAAGGAGACCAATTAGTAGGCTCTTTAGGTAATCTAGGCAAGAAAGATATGAACCAAAAAGAGAGAAAGCCATGAAACTGGTAAGAATTTTTGGTTGTTTTTTGTTGTTGTTGTTGTTTTCTGTTACCGGGAATCAAACTCATGACCTTGTACTTGCCAGGCAGGCACTGTGCCACTGAGCAAAATCCCCAGCCCCGAAACTAGTAAGAATTTAGCAGATTTTTTTTTTTTTTTAAATGAGGAAAACATTAACAGACAGACAAC